CAAAAATCAGGACTGTCCCTATAAAATCGGGACATCTGGTCACCCTACACAGGACCCACTGTTGCTTTTTACAGATTCAGATTAACACGGCTACCCCTCTGATAGCTTGTGGAAGGCAATAGCGACTAAAAGTGAAATACTATAATGATTGTGAAATTAAATTATTTTTAAATTTACATTTAACCCCCCATACACAATCCCATATCTAGTGCTATCTGTAAAGGGTAGGGAAATACCCAATGCTGTCTTGGATGGAAATAAAACAAAATCAAGGAGCATGATCCGAACATGACCAGACTGTCAATGTATTTCTGAACTGCTGTATACAACCTCAATATCCAGTGGTCTGCTAGAGAATTAAAGCCAGTTTTCACTTCCCTCAAGTTACTTCTGGTTCAAGTAAGGTTTCTTCCTAATATGGTCATAGCAGCCAATCAATTTTTTTTGCATTGCCTTATGTACCTTTCAAACACTAGAGCCAGATGGCTGTCTATTGCCACATTTATCGTAGAGAAACAATTGAAAAGTTAAACAGCATTGAATTAACAATGAAAACGATGATCAGTGTAATGAGATCATTGTAGGCTTGATTGTTACTGACCTCTGATGATTCTGAGCATAAGTGAAATGTACAATCCTAGAAAAAGCATATGTGTATTAAAAGTCAGATGTTATTTCTGTGCATATTCACAAATAATCAATTTACATTTCTCCTTTCCCTGCCTCAGTGGGTCTACTTTATGGCTCAGTTACCGACATTTAGCAATCATCTTTATTTTGTGTCTGTGTACCAAAAGCAAACAAACACAAAGCTTGACATAGTGCATGTGCCAAATTATTAATATTATCATTTTTATAGTACCTGAAAGGGGAATTGGTGCTTTATAGAACAATTAGAAAGACAAATTCTGTGCTCCAATGAGCTTCTCTAGTGTGAGACAAGACAACTAGTGGGGATTAATAAAAAACAGCAAGGAGGTGACAGAGAGAGGAAAGACATGGGTTATGGCAATAAGATTAGGCAATTACTCAGTTTAGGCATGTATACTTATTGAGGCTTTAATTAAAGTTATCTATTATTATTATTAACTCACTTTTTCAAATGAGGCTCAGTGAGTGTGGACATTCCGTAAGTATGTTTTCAGGAGCATAGTTTATTGTACTCTAAAGGATATCTTATTTCACTTACTTTTTGCAGCCTACAGACAGAAGATATATTTGAAGGACTTGCAGATTCCAAAGTAAATATGACTATGAAGGATTTACAGGTCAGTAAATAACAGCCACAGATTTTGAAGCTTTCATTGATTTCACAATGATGGAATGATAAAATCTGTGACAATGAGCCAAGATATACCACACTAAACAGCCTACCTCACTATACTGAATGTAAAGCAGCATGGACAAGTAATACAGTGGCTCCCTGTTAAGATCACCTTTTATAACATTACGATAGTGAACTCACTTTCAGCCGAGCTAGGAGAAGGTGTGATAGACTTGTTTCCCTTACTGACCCTTTTTTAGTTTTATGGGCTCATTATTCAGAAACTGAATTGCCTTCTCTTGTTAGTGTAGACAACATGGTCTAGTGGACAGGGACTAGACTGAGAGTGAAGACTGGGAGTAGGTCCCAGCTCCCACACAACCTCTGACATTACTTCCCTTTCCTGTACTGAAGGAATTATGAATAGGGCCCTACCAATTTCATGGCCATGAAAAGCATGCCATGAACAGTGAAATAAGCCCTTTCCTGTGAAATCTGATCTCCCCGAAATCAGCTGGCCTGGGGAAGGACAGGACTTGTCCTTCCCCTGCACGGCTGTTATGGAGGGAGATCACACCCACCTCCACAGGCAGCGCAGAAGCTCTTGGGGTGCCCAGGCTTGGGGCTGCTGTGGCTCCTGCTCGGGCTCGGGGCACCCTAGCGCCAGGGCTTCCACCCACTGCCACCGCCACTGCTGCCCCCCCCCATGTAGCTCTTGCCAGGGCTCTGGGCTGACAGAGATGGGGGTGTAGTGGCTGCGGCTCCTGCCCCGGCTCAGGGACCTGGACTGGGGGCTGCCACCCCCCACAGCTCTAGTCCCTGCAGCTCCTGCCCGACTCGGGGCTGGGGGTGCCTGGCTCGGGGCTGCCCTCCCTTGGCT